AAGTCCAACATTTTATCACAGGAGAGCGCCAGGAGGGTCACGGGAATCAGGCCAGCTGCGGCTTTGAGTCACAGACGTGAGATGAGGGAGCCTCTCACACCATTGAGGGGGTAACAAGGTGGCCCGTATTACGGACAGAGGAGCTGAGGACGCTAGGAGGGTTATGTGTCTTGGCGGCTGTGTGTGTACTCAGATCACCAAGCTGTGGTGGAAAGCAACCTGCAGGGAGGAATGGCCTCCAGAGGGCTCCCCGGATCCCTGCTGGTGTGGAAGGTGCTCAAACCTGTCACTGGACGTTCTGAAGCCTCTGTGACTCCAGGCAACCCTCCCTCCAAAGTAGAATGGTCCTGACTGTAGGAAGACCCTCTATCCAACAGGTTAACTAATTCCCAGAACTGACTTCTGAAACATGCTCCATATACCTCACCATATACCTCATCCAGAGAGAGACTCTCCTAACAGTAGCACTGGCCCTTTAAGGCTTCTGAGGCCCTCACCTCATTGGTATTCCGGGCAGTCAGCCAGGGCTCCTCTCTAGCTAGAGAGTCAGGACTCATTAGCAGATGCTTAAATGTCAGAGGGAGACCAGGCTTGGCAGGGCTGGGCTTACAGTCTCCCTCTTTCTATCCTTGCAGCCTGGCCTTCTGGTGGCCACATAAATTGCCTGGGGAGGTGCCGGGGTCAGGGGTCAACCTCCTTCTTGGTTTCAGTCTAAGCACAGCTGGCAAGAGACTGACTGACCCACAGAGCTTTACCTGCCCCTTACAGTGCCCATAGCTCACAGGCTACACTTACGTCCATCTTTAAACGATCCTACCTGTTTTTCACACCTGCATCTTAGAGATGAAGAAACTGAGGCTCCTAGGAGAGGACACTAGCCCTTGGTCAAACAGCCGGGAAGGTGAAGCTGCCAGTAGGCACTGCGTGGAGGGGAGCAGCCCATTTTACAGAAGGAGATGGTGGAGTCCACAGAGAAGCAGCCTGCAGGCAGTCAGGACTAGAACTCACGTCTCTAGTCACTCTCCATCCTGAGCCTCTTGGTGCCAGGCTGAAGGACTTCCAGAACTAGAACCAGAGATGAGGGTTGGGACCAGATGGAGCCACACGATACCAACCACTCCTCAGAAGGCAGCTTGGGCAGTTTACTTCCGTAATGATGCCGCCTCGGAAACCCAAGGAGGGGTTGCTGAGTCAAGGTCGACTCAATGGCAGTGAGTTTGTTTTATGATCAGACTGGGCTGCAGAGAGCCAGGAGGCCAGAGCAGCTGACCCTGGCAGCCCAGATGAAGAGTGATTAGGCTCACGGGACCCCAGGTGAGGCCCCAGCGCCCTCAATTACCCGAAGTCAAACCTGCAAGAGAGTGCAAGGGTGCCCCTGACAGCAGGCTACCCTGGAGACCATGCTGGGTGCATTTCAGTGCTCACATGCCCACAAGTGGACAAGCACACTCCTGGCACAGAGACCTGCACCCAGCAGCCATTGTTGTCAAAGGACTGGACAAGCCCCAGCAGTGTCCCTGGCTGTGGGCAGCAGGTGTGAGGGTCCCCATGCTCTGGGCTGGACTCTAGCAGAAGGACCCACCCCTCTTGTTTCTCTCTCTCTCTTGTGACCAAGAAGGAGCTGTGTACTTGAGGGTGGGGGCGAAGGACCAACATGTCTGTTGGAACTGAGGCTGCTCCAGGATCATTGGGAAATTCCTGATCCCTGGTGGCACTGAGCCTGTCTGGGTGGAAGTCAGCCAAAGCTCAGCCCTCTGTGAGGAGAGGGGTAGCCGCTGGCTCAGCTGTTGGCTAACTAACCCAGAGAGAACCCCTGGGATAAGTGACGTGGGCAACACTTCTACTCACCCTGGTAGAAGTCAAATACATACAGTCAGACCCACGTGCCCACAGTCAGACACCCTGTCATGTGACCTGGCAGACAAGTAGACACAGACCTGCAGGACAAACCACCTGCCTTTGAGATGATTCCAACTCACAGCACCCCTGGAGGACAGAGAACTGCTCTACAGGGATTCTAAGGATGTCCTCTTCAGGGAAGTAGACCGCCACATCTTTCTCCCTGAGGGGCTGATGGACTCAAACCACTGACCTTTCAGCAGCTGAGGACTTCCCTGCCATGCCACCCGGGCTCCTTCACTTGCACGTAGACTCCCCTATTTCCACGTGGACAGACCCACATGCTTGCAGACGAACAAGGTCATGTTCACATCCCTAAGAGTCTGGCAAAGTTAGATACGGCTTCTTGCACCCACAAACACAGCCACACTCATGCATACCAGATGCACACGGCCCTCATCACACACAGCCTCTCATGCAGCTGGACACAGACCCCTGGACACATACTGTGCATAGAAGTGGACACACGTCCCTCTCATACCTCATGGCCCAATCACACTAAGATGCAGTCAGGCCCACAACCACCCACCCACAGGCAGAGTCAGCCTGATGCACCCACATACCCTCACCCCTTCGAACTCCACTCTCCTCCTGCTCAGTCCTGGGTTGAGGGCCTCGGACCCCACCAGGGTGATGGGAGGGGCCTCCTGGTAAGAACCCACCCTGAGGATTAGAGGTGGTGGGGTTCGGACCCCTACAGTGGACCCGGGACTGCCCCAGCCCTGAGGGGCCCCTGTGGCCCCAACCCCAATGCTCTTGCCCATGTCCTGGCCCCAGCTGTGACCCAGGGGGATGTTAAGATGGTCCCTCACCTAGGGTCCTGGTGAGGAGGGGGAGGATTGGGAGAGAGTTCTGGGGCCTCAGGGAAGGATCCAGAAGATGCTGCTTAAAGAGAACTGGTCCCTGGTGTCAGGTGACTCCACGGTGACAGCCTGACTTCTGAATAGTTGGGGACCAAAAGTTGAGGGAACGTGAAGGGCAGTGTTGGGAAATGCTTGCATGCTCAGGAGAGGGAGGGCTCTGAGTCCAGGCATTCCTGGGTTCAAATCTAATTCCTGTTCCTAGGCCCTGTGCACCCTTGGGCTAGTCACTTCCCCGCTCTGAGCCTAGCTTTTCCCTTCTGTGTGATGGGGAGATGAGACGTTCCTGGGAGGGCTCAGGAGGATTCCAATAGAGTATCTTGAGCATTCCTTGCAGTGTCTGGCACACAGGCAGGTGCATGTCAATAAGAGTGGGAAGCTCTGGCTTAGAGTTCAGACCGACTTGGATTCCAGGCTCAGCCCCACCTCCTGTAAGTTCAGTGACCCAGGGCCAGTGGTTTCAGCCCTCTGAGCCTGGAGGGTCACCATCTGTCAAAATGAGGGTCTTTATTCCACCAAGGTGGAAGTGAGGCTGCGTGTGTGAAGGAAGGGCTCAGCCCTGTTGCTGGCAGATAGCATGTAACCACAGTGCTGTCATGATAATAAGGACAGGAAGACATTAACATAAGCATAAATCATAAGGGGAGTATTATCAGAAGCAGCATGGCCTAATCCTGTTAATTTAAAAAAATGCTGCAACAAGCAATCTTACTGCTGTATCTTTGTGCCCAACTGCAGTGGACAGTATGGGTGGCCACCCCAATCCCCTCTACTGCTTTGACAGTAGCTGCTACTGCCTCCCAGCTGCCCCTCTCGGAAGATTGCCCTTGACCTCACAGGAGCAGCCTGTCCTTCCCAGGAAGGTGGGGTGGCCCACAGCCAATGACTGACTGAATCTTGGCCTGTCCACAAGGCTGGGGCCGTTCCCCTGTCCTGACCAGTTGCGGCAGAGTCAGTTCTGACTCGTGATGACCCCATTGGGATTTAAGTGGCTGATTTTTCAGCAGTTCTCCAGGCCTTTCTTCTGAGGTACCTCTGAGTAGACTTGAACCGCCAACCTTTTGGTGAGCAGCTGAGCACATTAGCTATTTGCACTGCCATGGAAAGGCCTGGCCATCCACCTTGACAGAACACCCACTGAAGAGCCTGTGGGGCACAGTTCTACTCTGACACACACGGGGTCTCCATGAGTCAGAGTCAAGTTGACGGGAACTGGTCTTTTTAAGGGAGCTCTGGTAGCGTAGTGCCTAAGGCACATAACTGCTAACCAGAAGGCTGGCAGTTCAAACCCACCAGCCATTCTTCAGAAGGAAGGTTGGCAATATACTTCCATAGTGATACCACCTCAGAAACCCAAGGAGAGGGGTCATTATGAGTTGGATCCAACTCGATGGCAGTGCATTTGGTTTTTGGTTTTTGGTTTTTGGTCTCCTTAAGGTGGGACCTACTCTGGAGTACAGTTTCCCCCACACTCGGGGCTCTCTGAGGGGTTACAGCCTTCCCCTGCCCTGCTCCTCCTCCCTTCCTTCTGAGCACATGTCGCCAGAAAATCAAACACACTGGGTCCCTGTGTCGGGCTCTGTTTCTAGGACACCTGGCCTAAGATCCCATCTCTGAATAATTTTCTTCAGGGGTGACTTATATGGAATTAGCAGTTGCCGCCAGATTTTCTGTTGTGCAGCTGGGATGAAGTTCTCTTAAAAGCAGTTTTCCCAACATCTCAGTCCTGTGGGGCCTGTAGGTGCCTGGGACCTGGTGTGTAGAGACGCTGCCCCGATTTTCCCCAAACCCCAGTATGATGGGAGGAATAGGGCAGGACAGCCTGAGCCTTTTGCTCCCTGGATCCTCGCACACTTGACCCCTTCTGATGAGACCATGACTGCTCCCTGGGCTGTTATTGCTTCTCTGAACAGAGAGTTGGCACCATTGAGAATGAAGAGGCAAGATGTAAGGATGCCTGACAGAGACAAGGCCATCTGTGGCCCAGGAAGAGCTACATCCCAGGGACCTGGACTGTGTACACATAACACCAGGATTGAAGAGAACTTTCTTTGAATCGTTCAGTTCCTTGGCTATGGACAGCCCAGCCCAAGAACAGAAAATGTGACTTTTCTTTCTGTCTCACTGTGTGACCTGGGGCAAGACTCTTGCCTTCTCTGGGCTTTAGTTTAGGAGCACTTCCTTCAGAAGGTGTTGTTTTCTGTCTAGTTCTAACTGCTGATTTTCCCTGTGGTTCTCCAGATGGAAGCGCGGTATTCCGAGGCTGCTTCCGCAGGCCTGACAACCTCTCCCTGGCCTTGCCTCTGACGGCTGCCATGCTGAACATGTCCGTGGACAAGTGTGTGGACTTCTGCACTGGGAAGGTGAGCACAAGGTCCTGTGTACAGAAGCCAGGGAACCCTAACTCAGAGGGAGGATGGTGCTGGAGTAACTAGGATGTTTGGCAGGAGACCCAGTGGCCTAGTGGGCATGTGCTCTGTGAAGGGAGGGGGCAACTGTTTCATGTGAGGTTGAAGTTACACAGGGTAGATTTCTCTCCCCCTGAAGAATATGTTCTAATAGTGAGGGATGGAGGTGCCATTTGAACTGGAGCTAGAAGCAAGAATAGAAGACCACCAGGTCTAAAAGGCAAGGACGGTTGCACCTTGGGACAGAGTGAGTTCCCCATCACTGGAGGTATGCACGCAGAGGCAGGGCAGGGATGGTATCTAGAACTTCGAACATTAGATAGCCATTGGGTTAGATGGCTGCAGGTTCCTTCTCACCCTGAGACCCTTGACAGTTGACTGTGTTTATCCTTCCTCCTAAGTCAGACTATGAATTTCTCAATGGTAGGAGCTGTGCCTTGGACATTTTCTATTTCCTTCCTCCCGGTAAGAACTGAGCACAGAACAGGCACTCGATGAGGTTTAAGGAGCTCCATCCTTCCATCCACAAGAGCTGATTACGGGGTGTCCGGAGTAGACCCCATTCTCCTCCACCAGTAGGTGGTTGGGCACTTCCCTCATTGATTCAGCAAATATTTAATGAGAACTTCCTCTGGGGAAGGCCTGTGCTTAGTTCTGGAATACAAAGGCAATGGTACATGGGTCTCCCTCCTCAAGGACCCTGGCATTGACTGGAGGCCTGCCTTGTGGCCCCACCTGGGAGCTCAGAGCTCACTCCTCCTCATGGATGCCCCCTCCCTGCTCTGGGTCAAAGGTCAAGCATCCTGCTTGCCATGGCTGTCACCTGAGGCCCCACATCTACCAGGTTCCTCTCAGGAAGATACACCATCATGGAGGCTGTTGCTTACTGAGGACCATGCTCACACGGTTTACTTCTCACAAGTCTCTGAGTTGGGAGTTCCATCCCATTTCACAGATGGGAAAAACCAAGGCTCAGACAGGGAAGGTCACTTCCTCAAGCACCTGGCCCAGCTGGGACTGACACCTGGGACTGGTTTCAAGTCCATGCTCTTAACTTCTGAGCTTCTTGGAGACCCTCCAGCAGGCCCAGGGTGGTGCCAACAGTCAGTGTGCTTGGTTGCTAACTGAACGGTTGGAGGTTCGAGTCCACAGAGGCTCCTTGGAAGAAAGCCCTGGGGAAAAAAATTACCCACGAAAACCTACAGAGCACACTTGGACTCTGAGCCACACGGGGTCACCGTGAGTCAGAGTCTCCACGAGTCAGAGCTGACTCACCAGCAGCTGGTTGGTGGAGGCTCAACATTGAGGTTTCCAGGAAGCACTCCAGGGGACGAGGCTGCTTCAAGCCAGCAGGCATTTCCAGGTGCATACTGTGCTCCAAATGGTCACCTGGAAGGGTGGGGGCTTGTGAGATTTAAGGGAGCTCTGGTGGCGTAGGGCCTAAGGCACTTGACTGCTAACCAGAAGGCTAGCAGTTCAAACCCACCAGTCACTCCTCAGAAGGAAGGTTGGGCAATCTACTTCCATAGTGATACCGCCTCAGAAACCCAAGGAGGGGTCTCTATGAGTCAGGTTCAACTTGACGGCAGTGAGTTGTTGTTGGCCATCATTTGGTTCCAGCACTCTCTTCTGGGCTGGATCCCCCCACCACACCCTCTCTTGGGTGACATTCCTTAGACCCTATGGGTCTCGGGAGAGCCTGCAGGTTGACCAGCACACCTCCTTGGCATTGGGCTCCCACACATGAGACAATGAGGTCAAAGGGCCAGATTATACCGAGGACTGGAGGGGAGTGAAGGTGTGTGGGTGGACTGGAAGGCCCCTGACTCAAACTCCCTCCTCCTGTTACCTCTGATCTCAGTAGGGGCCAAAGGAGAGAGATCGGGGACCACCAAGTGGGCCAGAGACACTGCTGTTCGTGGGGAATTGACTCAGGGGCAGCTGTCTTTTAAAGCTGGGTGAGGGTAGCGAAGAAGGGACAGTTGGAATGCAACTCCTCCATGTTCTGAGTCTGAGGTTGTCCAGGAACTTAGGGAGCTGCTGCCTCCTCTACCCCCACCCCCAGGAGTACCCACTGGCAGCCCTCGCGGGCACGGCCTGCCACTGTGGCTTCCCCACCACGCAATTCCCCCTCCACGAGCGAGAGGATGAGCAGCTGTGTGCCCAGAAGTGCAGCGCCGAGGAGTTTGAGAGCTGTGGGACGCCCAGCTACTTCATTGTGTACCAGACGCAGGTGCAAGGTAAGCCCAGCCTCCCAGGCAGACCCTGGCTCTCCCGGTGGCCTCTCTTGCCAAGGGCCCTAGTCTGTCCGTGTCTTACAGCGCATCAGCAAGAGAATCATGCTGGCCACAGGGCAGGGCTGGCGAAGTTGGCCAGGCTTTGAGACCTTGGGTGGGCAGCGGGAGGTTGGGCAGGGGAGAGGTGGTGGGTCTGAGACCCTCATCTCTGTCCCGCATCACTGAGGACCACCTTGGTGGCTCTTGCTCTGGAGTGGAGGCAGTGAGATTGAGGTGGGAGAGATCTGGGCTGGGAGTGAGGACCCACAGTGTGACCCCAGGCAAGTAACTTCCCCTTCTGGGCCTCAGTTTATCCATCTGTAAAATGCAGCTATAGATTGTTGATCTCCAAAACCAAAAGCAAACAAAACTCACTGCTGTCAAGTCCATTCCAACTCATAGTGACCCCCATAGGGTTTCCAAGGCTGTAAATCTTTACCAAAGTAGATTGCCTCATCTGCCCAGGGAGCAGCTGGTGGGCTTGAACCACCAACCTGGTTAGCAGCCAAGATGCCTTCCCCACTGCACCACCAGAGCTCCTCCTTGTTGACCTCCAAGGGCCCTTCCAATTCTAGAATTCTGTGACTCTATCTAGAAATTGCTCTTTCTCCATCTTGTGGATTCCCACTTACATCATCTTCTTTTGGTATGAACACGTTCCCTTTGTCTTCTCTTCTGTTTGTCGGTGGTGGTGGTGGTGGTGGTGGTGGTGGTGGTGATGGTGGTAGTATGTGGGTCTCTCAAGGGCTCTGCCAGATGCAGTGTCCAGCCCTTCACTTCCTCATTGAATACCCTCTGCTTTCCTACTGAGAACAGTTAAGGGACTTGACCGAGGTCACGCTGTTTATGAAATTTCTAGATGGAAACCCTTCTTCTGACAAGGCATCTTGGAGAGCAGTGACACTTGGAGAAGGGGTCCCTTGCTAGGATGCTCCATCAAAGGAAGACCCTCAAGGATGACCTCAAAATCTGAGTATGCTGATGCCCTCTCCCTACTAGGTAGCAAAGTAGCATGGTGTCAAAGGGTGCTATGCCATGCTCTATCTACACACCTTATCTCCTTTAACAAGGCAAGTCCACAGCAAGCCTTTGACCAAGGCAGCAGCATCCCCATTTTAAAGGTGAAAAGCCATGACTCAGAAGGGTTAGAGAGCTGACCACAGTTACACACTGAGGAAGGTTCTCTGACACCAGAGCCTCTGCTAGAATCCTCTACCCACAGTGCAGAGACAGCCTTAGAAGCCTAGGGGGCCCACAAAGCACCATAGGCTAGACCTCGTCATCTCCCAGCACCCAGCCCACCACGTATGGGTGGGCAGGTTATGCACTGCACAAGAAAATCCCACGGGGAAAGTTGGGCTGAAAGGGCAGCCCACGCTCTGCCCACCTCACCGTGCTCCCTGGGATGGGGGTACACCCTCCCGGAGGACAGGTACTTTTTCTGATTTGCACAAAGGTGCCCAAGAGCTGGTGGCAGCCCCACCACTAGCCCATCCCATTCAGCCTGACGGAGGGACCAGTTGTGGCCAACTACAGCTGCCCCCATGATGTTTAAAGCCCCATGAAGAGCCCTGTAGGAGTGGTGGCTCAGTGGTTAAAGTGCTCTGCTGCCATCCGAAAGGTCGAGGGTTCGAATCTACCAGCTGCTCCACAGGAAAAAGATGAGGCAGCCTTGGAAACCCTAGGGGGCAGTTCTACTCTGTCCTGTAGGGTTGCTCCGAGTCAGACTCGACTTGACAGCAGTGGAAAAGAGCCCTGTGAGCAGGAACATGCTTAAACATGGCCTTGGCTCTGCTCACACTCCCTTGAAGAAAGATGAGTGTGTGTTAGTTTTGGGGGACATACTGGTTGGTTTGTGCAGGCCTGTGTTGCCTCAGCCTACAGGGAAAGTCACACACAGATTAATTATCCTGTGACCACGCATGGCTTTGATGTGGGCAGAGCAGATGCTGGGCCCTTTTCAGCAGCAGACAGAGTCCCTAACTGATGAGTTCGCTTGTTCCCAGTGTCCTGCCCCCAGGCCACTGCAGCTCTTCTGTTTGTCCACATCATACTTGCTGTCCCTGTACACCAGGGAGGCCGAGAGCCATGTGGTTCATCAAGCTGCCGAGCCTGGCTCACCATGGCTGCCATTTACTGAGCACTTACTATGTGCACAGCCCTTCAGTCACTAGTACTGATGGGAACGGAATCATTACCGAGCACCTACTGTGTGCCAGGCACTGTCTAAGCCCTTTACCTGAGTTAACTCACTTCACCCTCACAACAGTCTGGTACTATGTTGTTATGTTTTGTTGTTGTTGTTGTTGTTATGTGCCGTCGAGTCGGCCCCGACTCATAGCGACCCCTCCTTGGGTTTCCGAGGCAGTTATCACTACGGAAGTAGGATTGCCCAACCTTCCTTCCGAGGAGTGGCTGGTGGGTTTGAACCGCCAGCCCTCTGGTTAGCAGGCAAGTGTCTTAGCCACTATGCTACCAGAGCTCCCGTTATGTTTACTGATTTACAAATGAGGCAGCTTGACACTGAGAGGCTGAGTAACTTAACCAGAGTCACACAGGTAGGATGTGGCAGATCTGGGATTCAAACCAGGCAGTCTGGGTCCTGAGACCACACTCTTTAACCACAGTTTCTCAGCATACATTGCACAGACATTACATGCATTTCCCATTTCATCCTGTAAGGTTTACTGCTTCTATTATACAGGTGAGGAAACTGAGCCTCAGAGAGGTGAAGATCTTGCTCAAGTTTACACAGCTTGACTGTGACAACCTAGGCCTCTCTGACTCCAAGGCTGCACACAGTATTACCTCCAGCATCTGCTTTGATTTATGGGGTTTAAGAATCAGTACACTGTTTTTAATGCTGAAAAGACATGTCCTTACCTGGAAGTTGGTCTCAGCTCAGGCAGTGTTTGGAGAACTGTCTTCAGAGGAATTTAAGGGCCGAGGTTCCTTCCCCCACTGACATTTTGTTGTGCAAAAATGTCAAACCTCCAGAAAAGTTGAAGGAATCGAACAGTGAATGCTGTATTCACTTTATAGATTTTCACTATGCTACAGTTGCCTAATCACACATCTCCTTTTCCCCATCCTTCAGTCCGTTTATACCTCCTCAGGTAAATGGCAGGATCTGTGCCCTTCATCCTAAACACTGCCATGGGCACCATCAACTAGAACTCAGTGTTTCCTTACGACTTTTTAAAGTAAAACTTTCAGAGAGTGAGATGTACAAATGTTAATACACAAATCAGTGACCCCTGGGCAGCCCATGCCTTTATTTATTCAAGATATAAAACGTAACCATTACCCAGATGAGGCGCATCTTCTGCAGTGCGTCCTGGGAAAGCAGACCCTCTGGTTTGTTTTCCTTCTAAGTCTCACTTCTCTGAATACGAGGTTTAAACATGACTGGAGAAGAGAGCAGTAGTCTGGTGGTACAGTGGTTAAAGCAGCCAGCTACTAACCAAAAGGTCAGCAGTTCGAACCCACCAGGCACTCTGCAGGAGAAAAGAGGCCATTATACTCTGTCCTACAGGGTCGCAATGAGTCAGAATCAACTTGATGGCAGTGGGTTTGGGTTTGATTTTGCGGGGAAGAAAGCTGGGTCCCTGCGGCAAAACTAAGAGCTACAATGATGGGCGCTCACAGCATTTGAGTCCTGTGCAGGTATGTTACATTCTGTCATCCAGCTCTCCTTACAGCCTCAGGCCAGGTCCCTGGGTGGCACAGACAGTTTGCGTTTGACGACTAACCTAATGCTTGGTGGTTCAAACTCACCCACTAGCACCTGGGAAGAAAGGCCTGGTGATCTGCTCCCATGAAGACAACAACCAGGAAAACCCAACGGAGCAGTTCTGTCTGTAACACAGAGGGTGGCATAAGTCAGGATGCACTCCTCAGTGGTGGCTTGGTTTTCTCGGTTTTGAACCACCTCAGGAGGCAGGTGCATTACTGCCCCATTGTACAGGTATGGAACTGGGGCTTAGATGAATTCTTCTTTGAGGTCACCCAGCAAGTAAGTGGCAGACTTCGAATTTAAATCTAGGAGTCCAGAGTCCAGGCCATTAACCCCCCAGCTGTGAGGCTGCATCACAGCCAGGGTTCCAGCGGTTCCTTTTGGGTCAGCCCCTGCTGAGACGCTGCCTTTCCACCCCAGATAGCCCGAGTCTCCAGTTTAACACGATCCGTGGGTGATTCTTACGTCAACATAACCATAATGTACACATAGGAATCGCCCAAGGATCTTGTTAAACTGGGGTGGAAAGGCAGAGTGTCAGCAGCGAGGCTTTGGCACAGTAAAGGCTTTCCTCCTCATGGCAGCCACCCCCACCTGCTCCAGTCGGAGGCGAACACCTGCCCTGCCCCCTCCCCCTCACCTCTCCGATGTGCTGGGGCCCCGACTACCTCGGGTGGACCCTTGAGCAGAAATGGCTGGTGTGGATGCGTCATATGCAATGAGGCCCTTAGCGAACCAGGAGCCACTGTCCCTTTTATTACTTGACCTTGGGCTTGGCTTCGTCTAGGCTCATCTCATGCCCAGCTGAGTTCTAACCCTTGTTGGCCTCTGGCTTCTCCCTAATCTGACACCACGTTTGGTGTCTGGAATCTTCTCCTATAAAACCACCAGAAGTCTTGGTTTAGCCGACACTGGGGAAGTAGCTGTCTGACAGGAATCAGTGCTGGGGCCACCTGATAATGTGTCTTCTGGACTGGAGCGCTTTTGATACTGAAAGGGGGAGCTATGAAAATCACACCTGGACATGCAGGCTGGATGAACCCCAGAAACTGCTGCACTGTGCTCTTGAACCCTGAAATCAGAAACATCCCCTGAATTGTTCTTAAAACCGAACAGTGGTTGAGCTTAACTAGTAAGGACTGGCTGCTTGAGCTTTGTGTTCTTTTCAGGTCTGTCTCTATGGGGTCAAAGTGACAACAGCAACTGGAAGAGTTAGATTTAGGGACAGTGAGTTTATGTTAATGGAGGAGGAACAACTCAGAAAAGGGAAATGAGGAAGGGTGCACAGCTCAGAGCGTGTCGCCATCCCTGTCACTGAGTTGGACGTGGAGAAGCGGTGAAAGGGGCGCATGGTTTGCCATGTATGTTCTCAAGAAAAGATGAATAGAGTTAGTTATAAAAATACTACATCAGGATAATAAGGCTTGTGGCGGGTGAACCAGGACCTCTGGTCTTAGTCATTAATGCTGAGGATGTTGAGTTTGATGCTGTTGAAGTCATGCAGGTGGAGAGGCCCAGGTGCACAATAACAGCCTGGAGCTCAGGGAGAGATCTAGACATTGGGGAGTTACCAGCAAGAGGGAAAAGTTCATGTGGGGTCCGATGAAGATGCCCAGGGGCAGGGAGGAGAACGAGGAGAGGAGAGGGTTGCCTTGGGACACCACGGGTTGTCTGAGAGTATGCAGGCTGGAGAGGAGCCTCAGTGGGCTCAAGAGGCCAGAGGAGGACCCTGTCCCCATGACACACAGGATCAGAGGTGAGCCATGTGCCCAGAACCACGGAGGAGAGAATCCTGAGCAGGGCGGCATGACTGGTGGCATCAGATGCTGCCGAGCCGTCCGATCATCTGCATTTAACACTGAAGGGGTCACTGTGACCTTAGCAAGGACAGTGCTGTGCAGTGAGCAGGGAGGAAGCCAGGGTGGCAGTTTGAGGAGGAAGAACTGGAGCTGGGGAATGTGGGTGCCTGTGCCAGAAACTCGGCTGGAAACCAGTGGCGGAGACACAGTGGTCACTGGTCAGGGTTAGGAGTGGGGTGGGGCAGGGATTGTTTTCAGTGATGGAGCTGTTTGTCACGTGTGAATGTTCCCAGGAGAGAGCCAGCTGAGAGGGAGAAGGTACATGGGAAACAAAGGGAAGGAGGAGAGGGCCCAGGACACGCAGGGCAGTCTGTAAGCTCAGGGACCGGGGGAGCCGGGGAGGTGAAGGAGGGGGCTGCCTGCCTTGACTTTCACGGTAAATGAGATCTGGGGCCATCAGCCCAGCATGGAGAGGACAGGGCTGGGGCTAGAGGCCTGGGATCTAGGATCCTCCTCCATTTCACAGCACCCTGTGCTCAGCCTCTCTCAGCTTCCTGCTTGAAATGGCTGTAGGGACCAGGAGAAACCCGCACTGGGCCTCTAACACCAGTAGGGGCTGCGCCGGGGGCACTCACGTGCATTTTCTCTGCTATCTCATGGTAGCGCCATCCTGCGGTCTCTGTAAGGCACAGAATCAAGGAAAACCAGAGGGTCAGAGCCCATTTTATAGAGGAGATCAAAGGCTAGAGACAGACCTTATGACTGCTTCTCTGGAGTGCTTCAGTGTGTTAGCGTGTTACATGCATTATTTCAAGATAGGTATCGTCATCATCATCCACTCGTCTATCAACCCATGCAACTACTCCTCCACCTACCCACATGTACAGTCACCCACCATCCATGCAACCATTCAGCCACCTAACCACCCAGACAATAATCACCTATCGATTGATCTATCCCTCTACTCCTCACCCAACCGTCCATCCAAGAAACATGTACTGAGTGGCTGCTGTGTGCCACATGCTACAGAAGGGCCTAGGGCATCAGCACGGAGCCATAGGGCAAGCTTTCTAAACAACTGACTGCACAAATAATTACTTGAATTAAAATTGCAATAAACAATGTGAAGGAGCTAGACATGGACCCCTAATAAGAGGGGGCCCTCCCCAGCCCAGGGGTCAGGAAAGCAAGGAAGTACCAATCCACTGAGAGCTGGCTAGTTAAGAAGCCATCTACAAGGCATAAGCATGTAGGAGGCAGTGCTTCCTGGGGGGCGGCCTGTGCGAAGGTAGCTGTATGTGGAAGGAACAGAGCAAAGAGAAGGAAGTGAAGGGGAACCAGGGTGGCTGGCAGGTCTGGGAGCATGCAAAGGTCAGGCCCCACAGAGCTTGAAGGCCAAGCTAAGAACTTGGGGCGTGATTCTAGGTAAATGGGATCCATTGAAGGTTTTCGGCTGGAGAGAGGGATGGGTGTGCTATGAGCAGACTCACTGTGCAGGAGGGAAAACTGGGTCTGCAGAGGAGCTCTCATTCCATCTGAGCTCTGTTGAAACCCTGCTGTGTATGGTTCAGTGGCAGAAGCCATGCCTTGCCTGCGGGAGACCTGGGTTTGATTACCGGTCAGCACACCTCACCCACAGCTACCACCCGTCTGTCAGAGGAGGCTTGAGGGTTGCTGTGAGCTAAAAAGGAGGCAGCAGAGCTTCCAGGCTAAGGCGGCCCAGGACGAAAGGCCTGGGGAATCAGCTTCTGATAATCAGCCAGTGAGAACCCATGGATGGTAAAGATCCAACCCGCAGCTGAGCACGAGTGACCCTGTTCCATCGCACATGGGTCACCATGAGCCGGGGCCACGGCAGCTAACCCCCAGCCCCGTGTGCTGAGCACCGTGCACACATACCTCATGTAACCCCGTTAACTGTGGGGGAGGAACCACTGACCCATTTTACTGACATGTAAACTGAGGTCTGGAGGGGGTTTCATCATGTGCCTGGCTCAGAGGGTAGGGAAGTGGCCGGCTGGACTAGCTCCATCTGACCCATCTGTGCCCTGCCCTTTGCAGACAACCGCTGCATGGACAGAAGGTTCCTCCCAGCCAAGTCCAAGCAGCTCATTGCGCTGGCCAGCTTCCCAGGGGCCGGCAACACCTGGGCTCGCCACCTCATCGAGCTGGCCACAGGCTTCTACACTGGCAGCTACTACTTCGACGGCTCCCTCTACAACAAAGGTGAAAACGGGGATGGGGAGAGCAGGGACGGGGCTGCCTGGCCCGGGAAGGTTCCCCTGGGGGAGGGTACAGGACATAGCTGTTCCTGAGCACCTTCTATGTGTCACATAGTGTGCCCGCACATTTATAGGGACCTACTACGTGCTTGAGACCTTCCCTAGGCTCGCATCCCATAAATGTTTTTTAAGCATTGTGTCCTGGGCCCCTTGCCTGCATCATTTCAACAGTCATCTGGCACCTCCACTCCATTAAGGTCACCACAAACACTCCTTGAGAACCTACTGTGTGCTGGGTACCTCACCACAAATCTAGATTGTGAGTGACTGTTACATACTAGGCCAAGTGCAATAGCTGTGTTCAGTTCAGGACATTTATTGAGTCCCTGCTACTCATCAGGTGCCTACGCTGATGACAGTGATGCTTGTAGGTGTAAGGCAAGGGCCTCAGCATGAAGCCTTGTACATAACAGGTGCTCCACAAAGGACAGCAGAAACAAAAATTAGAAGTTAATGTTTAAAAAGCTGGGATTTCAAGGCAGTCACCCTGGCCCCTACCCCCTTGCCAACTCCAACCTATTAGTATTTCCTGAGTACTTACTATTCAAAGGAGCTCTGGTGGCATAGTGGTTAAAATATTGGCTGCTAACCAAGAAGCTGGCAGTTCAAACCCACCAGCTACTCCATAGGAGAAAGATGAGGCGATCTACTTTCGTAAACATTTACAGCCTTGGAAACCCAATGGGGGCAGTTCTGCCCTGTCCCGTAGCATTGCTATGAGTCAGAGAAGATGCGCTGGTGGTGGGTTTGGTTTAACCTACTACGAGTCAGGGATCCGAGCTGCATTTGAGTCAGTGAGTCCTGGGTGCTTTATTTCTGTTCAGTTCACAGCTGTTAAGTTAGCACAACTGTGTTCTGTTTGTGCTTCTAAGTCTGGATCCTCAAAAGCAGTTATGCAGCACCAACTGTGTGCCAGATGCCTCAGATGTTCTCTTGGACACCTACAGTGTGCCAAGAGCTATGCCAGGTGCTGCGTTCTTACAACCACAGGGACCCTGGGAGGGTAGTGATGCTGTTTCCCAGATGTGAGGCTGGGTGAGGGGAAAGAATTAACCAAAGTCATGCAGATGTTTTTTTAATGGGCTGACCAGGGAGCATACCCTAGTGTTGTCAGGTTTCAAGGCCCACCCCCTTTTCACTCCATCATACAGGCAAGACTCCTTGAGGTTTCTTCCTTGGGAATCATGGGTGTGAAGCCTCCCTACGAATATCAGGGAAGCAACTGGAAGGGGCTCTGAGTCCACCTGCACAGCAGTCTGGGCCATGGGTCTTTGTGTCTGCAAAGCAGACCAGGCTGTGTGACCTTGGGCAAGCTACTATACCTCTCTGAGCCTGTGTCATGCACAAATAAGAGCTAAAGAGTATGTGCCCCATGAGGTGATTATAAAGGTTGAAACATGCAACAAGATTAGCACATAGTATGCAATAAATGTAGGCTATGAGTGCCATGGCCTGGATGCCAGGTGCTGGCCGGGCACAACTTAGTGTTGATAGAGCATCATTCCTGAGCCCCAGCTCCAGGAGAGCCAGGGGGCATGTCCTGTGAGTGGAAAGCAGGAGGGAGGTAAAGACTGAAAAGGCAAGGAAGGTGAAGAGAAATTAAGAACGGGAGTTGGCAAGGGGATAAGCACTAGGGTGTCGGCCTTGGAATCCCAGCTTTTTATATGTTTATTAACTTTTAGTTTTGGTTTAAGGTACCATTCCTTAAGTCCCTATTATGTTGAGGGTTTTGCATGCTTATATGAGGATTTAAACTGGGCCTGGCTGTCAGCAGTGCCTAACCACTCAGTTGCCCTGTCTTTATGGGAATTGCTGGGAGGAGCTGAGGCACATTCTGGAATATCCCTGGCTTGTCCTGGGGCCGTGGCTGGAGAAAGCAGGCTTGGAAAGCATCCTCTGCTGGCCCGCATCCCTAAGCTTCCTGGCTGTGGCAGCAGCGCTGCTCATGGGATCTACAAGTCTTTCAGGATCACTTAATGCAGGGATTGATGAGTCAGTTCCCATCAGTCCCTGCCTGAGCTGATATGTTAAGGATTCTGGGGTTCTGTTCTCCCTCAGAAACAAAGGGTCTTAATCTACTAGTGATGCTTGCTGAGGATATAGAAGGGGAACAGAGTGGTCGCATCACCAGCCATTTTCCATCTCTGATGTAACCTGACCTCCTAACAGCTGGGGGACTTTAGGCAAGATCCATAACCTCTCTGAGCTTCAATTTCCTCATCTATACAACATGGGATAGTTAATACCAAACTCACAGAGATTTGGAAAAAGTATAATAAGATAATATATAACATATGCATTATTTTTTAGATGGCATAGAACCAGGACAGTAAGCTATCCTGGCCTCTCAAAGTGAAAGGGGAGAGGAGCTGATCTCTGACTCTACATCTGAATCCCCTGGGGAGCTTTTAAAGCCACACCCCAGAATTTTAGGAGCAGGGCCTGGGCATGAGCATTTTTAAAGGAGCCGAGGTGATTCGGATGCAAAGCCAGTCTGAGAGCCACCTACCTGAGACTGAGAACCCAGTATTCATACTTCCAGACCTACAACACCCAAATAATTGGTTTTATGTCCTGTGTTTTTCACATTCTAATATTGGAGAGTATCAAGAGTTAATTAAGAGAGAGTTGTCTATAAAAATTGAACTTGATTTTTAAAAGGAAAGAAAGAAAACACAAGCCCTGCACAGCAAATCTCATGCCTCAAGCTGTGTCTAGTTACTGGATGTTTCTTTAAGCCCCACTGAGAAAGGCAGGGATGTGTGGGCTGGTCACAGGCAGCTAAAGCTTTTCATGCAGCTGTGTTTTCATTCAGGGTTTAAAAATATTTTCTTTGGTTTGAGCAGGTGCAGGTAACAATGATCTCTCCATGGGGGCTCAGAGCTTGGCAGTGGGGTGCAGGCAAAGAGAGAACCCCTACCCTCCAAGTCAGTCCTGGCTAATCTCCAAGTCTTCCCCCTCCCCATCACCTCTGCAGCCACTAGAAGGAAGCCACTGAAAGATGTTTAACTTCATGGAATTCTCAAGCCCCCATGACCTAGCCAATGACAAGGGCTCCTGGGATGTGGGGGCGGGGGTACAAGGGGGAAGTGGGGGGGTAAGTTCTCTGCCCTGGTCTGCCTCCACTGAGCTGCAGTCTTGCTGCCCTTCCAACCTTAGACTTCAGGTAGAATTAGCTCTTTGCAATTAGAAAACACAACAGCCATTTGCAGGTGCTCTTTCTGCTCCTTGGGACAAGGCCCTGCCCCATCCTTAGCCTGACTCATCCTGGAAAGTGCTCTTCAAACCTCAGCTCTTGAACCATTGCCGCACCACCCTGCAATGTGTTCTCTAGAAGAGTCAGGTGTCCTTGTGCCCAGGGTGCCCCTCCATCACAGCCCTTATTATTATTGGATTCATATCACTGAGCATACTGGTACTCATCGTGGGTGTTAATATATTGCATGTCAGCAAGGGCTTTTCTAACTCAGTCTTGGGGTGTGCAGGCAGAAGGTGGGTGGGACTCACGGAGAGGAGGCCGATGGCATGGGAGAGTCGTGGAGGAGAGTGACACAGGCTGACTGGTGAATAGAAATAGTTCGATAGTGTTGGGTGGTGGAAGGCGAGGGAGCGGTGGGTGGGAATGTGTTAGGCAGGAGCAGCAGCGGGGACTGGGTAAGTCAGAGTACCTAGAATATCTTCTGAGACTGTGACCTCCTGAGCAGGCTGGGATCTACTGGGAATTTGAGGCAGGGAAGGGTGTGCTGAGAGTTGCATGATGGGAATATCCCTGTGGCCATGGAGGTTGGACTTGGTGCATTTACAAGGCTGCAGGACCCTCCAGCTGAGTGATGATGATGAGGTGAAGGGGACAGTGTAGGGGACATTTAGGAGGTTGTTGATTGGAAGTGACAGGGCCAGTGCAGGAGGCCAACCCTTCTGTTTCTGAGTGGATGGGCCCCTGGGGGTGATGTTTGTAGGCTCAGCTGACCTCCAGCAACTCTTGCTGATTTATTTAAGCCCTTTAGAGTTTGCTGTGTCTCCTGCTGACTTTTGAGATAACTGGAGGCATGGTCCCTGCCCTCTTGGGACCTCATCCTTCTCCTCTATACGATGTGTGTGTCTGGTAGTGCCCCAGGCCAGGCCCTCCTGGGTTTGCCAGGCCCACAGAGGGGTGGGAGAGAGGGAGGGTGAGTGAGTGAGTGGATGAGGGAGGGAGAGAATAAATGGATGCAGTTCTGCCTTCTCTTCCCTTCCCAGGTGAGGCTGGCCATTGACAGGGCATAGTGAGCTCTGTGTCTGTCCATCTGCATGTTGGGCTCTGTCTGTCTCCCTCTCTGGTGCCATCTCCTTTCATTTCTGTGTCTGATTTTCTCTTTTCTTGTCTCAACCCCTGCTCCTCTCCAGAGCTCTGTTTCTGTGTTCTCACCTTGACTTACCCTCTCCCTCTTTCTCTTAGCTTTTTTCCCCTCTCTCTTTCCTTAGGGACCCCCCATCCCTGAGCACAGGTGGAAGCTCTGTGGCCTGGTGAGAGCCAGAGCCCTGACCTAGGAGGGGGAGGGACATGATGATGGCCCTGGACACAGACTCTCGAGTCTGGCAGAGCTCTTCCAAGCTGCTGGAACGTGCAGGCAGATGGGGCAGGCGATGGATGAGGCAGCCCCTCGGCCTGTCTCACACAGGATAGGAATTTCTGAATGTCATCAAGGCCCACCATCCCTGGGCCACCAGCCTCCAGTGTGTCCACACCCTCTTCCTGTCTAGTAAAGACCAGGGCACAGAGAGATGCAGAGTCTCTGCTGCAACCCTTCTCTGCAAACCATATGCGAAGTGAAGGGGTCAACTCATTTTGTTCTCTCTGTGGCCCTGAACCCACAGTTGTTTGCCCAAATCCTGGGAAAACTGCCCAGCCTCTCAGAGTCTGAGGGACATCTGGGTGCCTCCAAACCAAAAACCAAACTCATTGCAGTCAAGTCGCATCTTACTCATAGCGACCCCCTCCTTGGGTTTCCAAGGCAGTATCACTACGGAAGTGGATTGCCCAACCTTCCTTCTGAGGAGTGGCTGGTGGGTTTGAACCACGAGCCTTCTGGTTAGCAGTCAAATGCCTTCAGCATTACGCCACCAGAGCTCCCCTGGGTGTCTATATGATGTGATGTAAATATTCCACATATTTACATAATGGAGGTGCTAGGTGGTGTTGGGAGGGGTGGAGAAGGAGGCCTGCTGGTGGTATTCTTCAGCTCTGCCCCAAGCTTGCATCTCCTCCTTGCCCTCCTTAGAGGACAGTTAAGCACCCATCTGCTCCTCAGACAAGTCTGCCCATGTGGCTTGTCAGAGGCTCCTTTATGGACAAAGAACTGCTCTCTGGGAGACACTCTGCTACACAGAATCTTCCCTATCTTTGTACATTCCCGTCGCTGCATAGATTCACTCCACAGGCAACCAAAAGCCTAGCCTGCCCTCAAATGCAGAGCAGATACTCCTCATTGTTCATAAATTTTCCTTCTTGTTTTTATCCTGAAAACTAGGCTAGGTGGACCCCATCGCGGAACAGAAAGTGTGCCTTGGGTCTCATGGCACACAGAGCTGAGTTAACCTAAAGCAAACATTCTGTCATGTTACTGACAGTTGGTTTTATTCTCTGAGAGCCTGTATGGGCTCTTGTGTCCCCTCTGCCTGTGTCTGTCCATTGCTGTGCTCATGGTGGCATGGAGTGGACCTGTCAGGAAGCGCTCTGGCAATGGGATGCAGTATTTTGGGGATGTAAAATGGTACCCAGAGCTGCCTTAGGGGCAGATGTGTTTGCGTCCCAAGCATTCTCTCAAGCCAAGCCCTCTGCCCTCAGGTGGCAGTTTTTCCCTTGATACTGTGCTTCCCGTGGGCCATGAGGCTGTGGTAGTGATTTTTCTCGTGGGCATGGGCCAGTGCTAATTTGCAAGATTAGGCTAATCCCAGACAGTTTAGCTAGGTAAATCCCAGAATGGGACCCGACTCAGGAAATCACATTCCGCTCTGCTTCTGCCCTCTGGAGCTGGGAGGGGGCTGTGCCTGTCTGGATCCCTGTCTCTGTGGTGTTAGCCCGACCAGCTCAGTAATCTTAGCTGAGCTGGCTGGACTTCTGGCCGGGCCCACGTCTGTTCCCGGTGTCTCATTACCTGGGAATTGAGGCTTCCCAGGACCTGTCATTCTGATGGGGACACGACAGGCACTAGAGAAGCAGCAGACACATGCTCCACTCCTGGAGACCTCACTCCCCTCCTCATCCCATCAGTCAAGCAAGTTCATGGCCAAGCCCACCTCAGTGGGGTGGGGGAGTGGACTCACCCAAAGAGAAGTCACTCAGCAGCCCCCTGTCATAATAGCTCCAGCACTGACACTCCTCTTCTCTAGCACTAAGCAGGGCAGTGGCATCACATTCATTTGAGTAACCCTGCTCAGGATGGTAAGACCCGTGGATGCTTGTGCAGATTTTCTCAGCTCCAAGCACACTGCCTGGCACATAGTAAGTGCTCAGGAAATATGTGAGGAGATGAATGAATGAAGGCGTGAGGATTCCCAAGGAGGCCTAGAAGGGTGGGGTGGGTCCTGCAACCCCCAGCTCACCTCCTGTGTCCCTGGGCCCCTGGCTGGCGAGAAGGCTTTAAAGGCGAGCGTGACCACTGGCGCAGCGGGCGGACCATCTGCATCAAGACGCACGAGAGTGGCCAGAAGGAGATCGAGGCCTTCGATGCCGCCATCTTGCTCATCCGGAACCCCTACAAGGCCCTGATGGCGGAGTTCAACCGCAAGTATGGCGGCCACATCGGCTTTGCCGCCCACGCCCACTGGAAGGGCAAAGGTACTGCTTGGGAGGGACCTGTGGGTGGCGGGGCCAGTGCAGTCGGAGTCAGGGTAGCCCGCAGGAGTGAATCCTCACGGGAAGAAACTAGGACATCCTTAAGGGCAGGTGTGGGAGGCTGCACACCCAGTCCCTGCTGGAGCCTAGGCGGCCTCCCCACATTCCTGAGCCAGGCTGAGAGGGCTGTAAGTGCAGAAAGCAGGAGCCCGTCCAGGGAGCGAAAACCTGCTTGTTCTGCACTGCCACGTGGGGCCACCATGAGTCAGAAACAACCCAACACCAACTGACACCACTAGGACCCAGCTTGGGAGACCCCATGGCTGCCATGCAGTGAACAGAGCCCTCCCGGTGCCCCTGCAGGGTGCTGGCTCCTGGCTGAATGATGGTAAAAGGGCTCGGAGCTCGTGGAAGCCAGAGGTCCCCAGCCCAGGCTGCACAGTAGAATTTCTGGAGGAACGTGGAAAGGTCCCAATGCTTAGGTACAACCCAGACCGTTCCTCTTTTTGGGGACGGGGCTTGGGCATCAGCATTCTTTTGAAAGGCCTCCCTCACCAGGTATTCCCACCGTGGAGGCAGAAAACCATGATTGTAGTCCCTCCTTAAAAAGGGAAAACTGAGGCACAAAGAGAGGCAACCTGCTAAGCCACTCGCGTTCAGAAGGTCCCCTGGGTGGTATAGGCAGTTAACCCCCGTGAGTGGCTACCAACTAAAAGGCTGGTAGTTCAGACCAACCCAGAGAAGCCTCAGAAGAAAGGCCTGGTGATTGAGTTTAAAAAAAAAAAAATCAGCCCTGAAAAGGCTGTGGAGGGCGCACACTTCTGCTCAGGCACACAGGGCCGCTGTGACTCTGTCACCTGGAGGCTATCTCTCTCCAGTCCTAGCCCCTTGTCCCCAGTGCAGACAACTCTGAGTCCCAGGAGCACTGGAACTTTTTCTGCCCCTTTTTCTGGATTCAAGCAGGTGGGAGCTGTAGAAACCTCAGCCTGCAGGAGGAGTCTGGGCAGCCTGAGCCTGCAAGGTGTGGGGGCCTGGCTGGCAGCCTCCCATCGGGACAGGGGAAGGGCTCTCTCCCAGAGCCTCTTCCCAGCCCTACCTTGGGTCGTCAGGGCTGTGGCCTTGACCTTTCCCCAGAACCCAAACACTGCCTCACCGCTGCCTTTCATGGTCATTCACTCTCTGGCCCCAGTAGGCACTTGAGGTTGAGGTCCTAGCTTTAGGATGCCTGAACCAGCAGTACCACTTGAGAACTTACTAGAAATGCACACTCTCAGCCCCACCCCCAAGTTGCTAGGCACGGGGTCTGCAGGCTGTGGTCTAACAAGCACCCCGGTGTTTGTGACGCACGAGCCAGGGCAAGACTCGCTGTTCTCCACTCCTGGTACTCAAACCAAGTGTCACCATCACCTGGAGTTGTTCAGAAGAGTAAATCTCAGGTTTACCATGTCGTCTCCATCTTAATGGCATCGAAGGCCAGGGTGCCACCTGGGGGACCCCAGCCACCTCCCAGACTGGGGGGACCCCAGCCACCTCCCAGACTGCCGCTTCCTTTCCCACAAGAGCCCCCCCCCCCAAGATTTGCTGCATCAGAATCTGCATCTTAAAGCTTGAGAGTCGCTGTGACTTAAGACCACAAGGAGGACTCCCACAGCACAGCATGCACGGGCTGCCCAGCGTGTCACCCGACCCCAGCCTGTCCCCTCGCAGGTACATCTGGGCTCAGTCACCTGCAGATCCTCCCTCTGGTTCCACATCATTAACTTTACTATCTCCCTGGAATGGTTCCAAAGCAAAGTTTTATGTGATGTGATTACACAAGGTGAATGGTCCTAGATCGGTTTAATGAAACAGATACCGTGTTTAATGATTCCGTGGGGAATTAAGGACAGGGATGCTCTTAAACTGGCACGACTCCTCCTGTTGGCACGAGGATGGCGCAGAGACTGGCCCGTCCAGGGCTGGCCGGGTACCCCTGTGACGTTCTGGATAAGTAAGTTTCTTAACAGATTTAGAGACAGCCGTCAGTTACCAGGATTCCTGGGCTAATCAAGGGCTTTGTTTTTCATTTTTATTATTTTTTCCAACGAACTAATCTAGGAGCTTCAATTGAGGCAGTGTTGTCACACAAAAGGAGGAGGGGTGGGCAAACAGCCATTGCCAGAACAGCCTGGAAATCAAACACACTTTGGAGAGAAGCATTAGTCAAGGGGATGGGACAGGCATGGGTGTCACCGGAGATGCTGTTGTTGTTATGTGCCATCGAGTGGGACCTGACTCATAGCGACCCCGCCTTGGGTTTCTGGGGCAGTATCACTATGGAAGTAGATTGCCCCATCTTCCTTCCAAGGAGTGGCTGGTGGGTTTGAACTGCCACCCTTCTGGTTAGTAGTCAAGTGCCTTAGGTACTATGCTACCAGAGCTCCACAGGAGATGCTAGGGGCTATAATCACAACAGTAACTGACATTAATTGAGCACGTGGGTGGCATGAGACACGGGTCTGTGATCGGTTGCCAACTGAAAGGTTGATGGCTCAGACCCACCCAGTGGCACTGCAGAAGAAAGACCTGGCACTCTACCTGAGACTTGCCAGTGAAAACCTCATGGATCCAAAGAGAGCAGCATCTGACTGACGCGCCTTCTTCACGTCATCAGGAGGGACCATTTGCTCGAGGAAAATGGTGCTCTGTGAAGTAGAGGGCCGGCAAGGGTGACCCTTGTACAATGGGCTGGCTCAGGAACCCCAAGAGTGGATGTGCAATCGTGCAGGTGACACCAGACCGGGCAGCATTTTGTTCTGTTGTATATAAGGGCACCCTGAGTAAGACAGAGCTCATAGCAGCTAACACCACCACAATAGGGCTACTAACTCATACTCCATCAGCTCCTTGGGAGCAACGAACGAGAGAAGGCATGAGGCACCTAATGTCCCCATCCTGGTCCTCCAGGGAGGTTTGCAACCAAAGAGCTAGCATGCCACCTCCAGCTGACTCTGAGGCTATGGCACCACGTGGAGGACCCAGCCACATCCATGCTGGAGGCTGCATCCCTGCTATGGAACCTTGGACGAATCACTTCAGCTCTCTGAGCCGCAGTTTCCTCTCTGGTGATGAGTGGACATCATCCTTTCCGAGTATTGGGAGTACTGGGTATAACCAGCCATCAAGTGAGTGGGTTTAGTTACAAAGAACCAGCTGGCAGCTGAGTGGTGCAAACGGTCAAGCACTCAAGTGCCAGCCAACAGGTTGGTGGTTTGAACTCACCCAGAGGTGCCTGAGAAGGCCTGGCAGTGTGTTCCCAAGGGATCACAGCCCTGGAAACCTCCTGGTGCCCCCACGGGCTACTGGCTGTACTGGCTCTCAGTTCAGAGCACCTGCCCTGTGACTCCCCAGCACGGGCTCAATCAAGACTGTAGGTCTTTGTTCATGGCCGTCACACGCCCCTCCCACAATGCCCTGTTTTCAGCAGTTCTAGGGAATGGCTGCCTGTCCCTCAAGTCAGACACTCCCCAAATACACCCTCCCAGTTTGGGTGACAATCTACCCTGTACTGCAGTGCCATGACGACAAACTGTAGAAAGAAACAGTGAACTGTACTCCAAGAAGGAAGGAACAGAATGGTGGAGGGATGGCAGCAGACAGAATCGGCCTACAGCCCAGCTCTCAGCTCACAGTCTGTTGGGGGGCACAGGAAACATAGTGGGGAAGCAGGGGCCATGAAACCTGAGGTAGCACCTGCCCGAGCCCGGGCTGACACCCTCTTACCTGCGCATGGAGCCGTAACAGTCCTACTAGAGGCCAGCAGTCACTAATACTGGGGGCAGTTAGTTACCACAGACTAGGTTCTGACTCATGGCAACCCCAGGTGTTCAGAGTGGAACTGTGATTTTCATGACCGATCTCCTGGACCCAGAGCACCAGCACTTTCTTCTGAGGCACTCCAGCGTGGGTTCGAATCGTAAACCTTTGAGCTAAAAGTTGTACACTCGACTGTTTGCACCATGCAGGGGCTTACTGTGTGGGCACAGGGCACCATGCTAAGAACTTTACAGACTTCTTCCATTCAGTCTGTCCCTGGCCTCAGTTTCATCCTGTGAATAGATACTATTACTTAAACACACAAAAAGGATAGCTTGGTCTTTAAACCCCAGACTTTGAAGCTCACCTGCCTCGGTTCAGATTCTAGCTCTGCAATCCTGAACAAGTTTCTTAACTTCTCTGTGCTTCAGTTACCTCTTCTGTTAAATGGAGATAATGGTGGTCTCTACCTGAGAAGGGGTTGTGAGGATTAAGTGGAGTTGATAAAGCCCTCAAGAACGGTCCTGGCCTGTGATCCCCCAAAATAAGGGAGGGCTGAGGATGTTGCAGGCAGAAGAAACAGTGAGGAGGGAGGAGTCCAGTGAGTTTAGAAATCTCAAAGGAGTTAAAGATGTTTCTATTACTGCGAATAATGTAATGTCTATAATTATTACTCCTAAGACATGCATAATGATAATTAATACAGACTTAGTACTGTGACTAATGGTGGTGACTGAAGCTCCTCCTGACCTGGGCTTTTGAACCCTGCTTTCTCCTCCCCGACTCCCTCCAGAGTGGCCGGAGTTCGTGAAGAACTATGCCCCATGGTGGGCCACCCACACGCTGGACTGGCTCAAATTTGGCAGGAAGGTGCTGGTGGTACACTTCGAGGACCTGAAGCAGGACCTCTTCGTCCAGCTGGGCCGGATGGTCCGCCTACTGGGTGTGGCCGTCCACGAGGACCGGCTGCTCTGCGTGGAGAGCCAGAAGGACGGTAACTTCAAGCGCTCGGGGCTCCGGAAGCTCGAATATGACCCCTACACGGCAGACATGCAAACGACCATCTCCACCTACATCAAGATGGTGGACGCGGCCCTGAAAGGCAGGAACCTCACAGGCGTGCCCGATGACTACTACCCGAGATGATGCGCCCAGCAGAGGGCGGGCGGGCCGGGTCCTGACCGAGAGGCCCTGTGGCCTCCAGCCCCCCACTCATCTGCCCTGTCCTTCATTTGGGGACACCCCGGTGGCTGCTGTCAGCCATAACTGAGTTTCCTGCATGACAACGGAGGCTCAAGGAATGAGATTGTCTAGATACTCCCCACCCTACTCACACACACACACCACCACCCAGGAGGTGTGGGACAGCTGGTTTGGGGAACTGAAGCCACACAGACCATTTTCTGTCCCCCATGTCCTTCCTCCCCACCTCTTGCATTACTCTGGCTCCACTTTTGGGAGGGAGGACTTCTCGGTGTCATGGGACATGCTGGGTGCCCAAAGCAGGTGTTGAGGACCTTGATGACAGAGCTAATGGGCCTTGTAATAAGTGGCCACTCCTTTCTGGGCTGAGCATTGGTGCCCTCCCCTCCTCCTCACCCAGCTGATCTCAGCTTGGGCAGCAGAAGACACTGGCATTGAGCTTTACTCAAGCCACTTCTTATTCCGAAGAAAGTATTGAAAGTCTCCACAAGGCCCTAAGCTTCTGGGCAGGGTGAGGAGGCACTGATGGGCAAGGCACTACCCTGTGGCATCAGTGGGGTCCTGAGCCCAATCACAGGTCACACTCCTCAGAGACAGTCTGGTTGCCAAGAAGGCGAGAATCCTGCCCTTCCTTCCTCCACTCTGTCCCAGAGGTGACACTGGCCTGGTCCCACTTCTGAGGTTTCTTGGGCACCAACAGAGTACTTAGCCCACGAGGATGGCCACAGGCCCCACAATCTGAGTAAATGGATCTCTCCAGCATGGGGTCCAGCTCATTGACCTTACGCTGCTGCTCTGACCCACCTCCAGAGGAGACCCAGGCCATCAACCTCCCCTTGATCACAGTGCAGCTGGGCGAGGGCTCACCCGCTCCAGCCCCAAGCTGTTCTCTCCCTGCGGAGACACCAAGCCCCAGGCTTTCTGGAGACCTGAGGCGCTCAGCATCTGGCTCCCACAGCACTTCCCACCCCTCCCCTCACCATGGAGATGCAAAAGCCATAGGTCACAGCCTCTCTGCACTCCTGTCTGCAGCCAGGGGTGCAAGGCCTGCTCATTCCCAAAGAGCAGAGAGCCTGTGACGGAGGCGAGTGTGAAGAGATATATTTTTTTAAGAGGAATATGGCTAACACATTCCACGCCTTGGCATCTGGCCATGCCGAGGGAAGAGCCTAGGAAATGGACCGGTGGTTCCTTTCCCTGGCTCCTTCCTGTGTGGGATTTGGGTCCAGCCAGGGGGCTTTGAATGTATTTTGTACTGTGTTTCTTCCTCCCCTTCCCAGCTGAATTTCTAGTCTGTCTGTTAGCAAAGCAGTAGAGGACTGGGCCTCCCCTCCCATGGAGGACAGCCCTCTCTGGGAGATTCATGGTCCAAGTCCTGGGCCACTTCTTTAGCTGGTGGTCACCTTAGGCCACAGGCCTCTCTGTCTGACGATTCCTCAGGTCAACATCATCATTAAAGGCAAGTTTTGTTGATAATTCTACCACATGGCAGAGTGTTGTAGAAGGCAACTACACACATGGGATGTTTCTCTGGTGTGTGTGTGACAGAGGTGAGAGAGAGAGTGTTCCGGTGCAGCGTCTCGGCGTGGGCAGGAGCGGGGAAGCAGAGCAGTAGAGTAGAAGTGTCCCTGCTGGGGAGAAGTTACAGTGTGTATTTGTGTGTGACAGGGTGTCAGTGAGTGTGGGACGTGCACATGTGTAGAAGGAAGAAAGCTAGGGGACACAGAAGGCTCTTCATTCCTCAGTGTGTGTGGGGGGTGGGGGTCCCAGTGACTCTGCAGGGAGGCCCTGTGTTCTTCCTCTGCCCCACTGGCAGGGCCTCAGTGGGAAGATGCTGGTCTCCCAGCTGGAAGGAGGGATGAGGTTTACACACCACCATGGAGGGAGGGGTGGGTTCAGGAGGACTGGGAGCTGGATGGCCTTCCCCTTAGGCCTGTGACAGGGAGGGCTTATGAAGGGAAGGGCATGAGGCAGTTCAAGGAGCACAGCTTTCTCCGGGAGTCCCTGTTGTTGTTGTTGTTGTTTGCCATCGAGTCAGCCCCTGACTCATAGCGACCCCTCCTTGGGTTTCCGAGGCAGTATCACTACGGAAGTAGGATTGCCCAACCTTCCTTCCGAGGAGTGGCTGGTGGGTTTGAACCGCCAGCCATCTGGTGAGCAGTCAAGTGTCTTAGCCACTATGCTACCAGGGAGTCCCTGGTGGCCCACAAAAACACATTTGTGACGGCTGTCACAAACAGCCCCACTCCCAGAGCCTCGATTCTGATCACAGACGAACACTCAACCTGATTAGATACTGAGCCCTAAGCCATGGTGCAGTCAGGACTCTCATGCTGGCCCCAGACTGAACACTGATAGAGTCTTGATCCTGGTCTCACACTGATTCCTGATCCTGGTCAATGATTGGGCTCTAACACGGAGCACAGGCCCAGCCCTGACCATCCTAGACTAAATGCTGATAGTGTCCCCTGAACGAGCCCTAATCTCTCACTAGGACGGAGCCCTGGCTCTGCACTATCTCCGTGTAGCTCAGGCCCATTGCTGTACCTCCCTGACCTTGGGTGTCCTCCTCTGTTAAGTGAACTTAATCTCTGCTCACCTCATGGGGTTAGGCAGGAGTGTCCCAGCAGCGTCTCCCCGGAAGCCTTTGGATCACGAGGTCACAGAACCCCGGTCTCGGCCCTGGATCAGTTCTGACCTTGATCATACTGAGCCCTGACCTTGGCCTCAGCCCTCATTTGACTTCAGATGGAGCATTGACTCTGGTCGTAGCCTAAACCCTGAGCCAGTATCTCAAATTTTCTTCACTTCTCTGTTACCTCATTAACCAGATCTACCAGAAGTGAGGGAAGCCAGGGAGCTTCTAGCCCTGTGTTCTGCTGGGTCCTTCTCAGATATCAGAGACCCAATGCCTTGCCATTCACCCCACCCTTCTGCTCCACACATCAGGAGGGGGTAGGGTGGCATGCAGGCCACAGCCCTTTAGACCAGTTTACCAGTCCCTGCCCTTTTCATCCCATTCGATCAGCCATCTTGAGTCACAGAGCCAAGAGGACCCAAGGAAGCACTTCCTCAGCAAGTACTGAACGAACCCCTCCTGCGTGCCTTTGTGTTCTGGGCATGAAGAGAAGGACGAGACACGAACTCCACATCCCGGCAGAGCTCAGATCCCACCGAAACCCAAGCTACACGTGATCCAAAGGCTTCCGGGGAGACGCTGCTGGGACACTCCTGCCCAACCCCACGAGGCGGGCAGAGATTAAGTTCACTTAGCAGAGGAGGACACCCAAGGTCAGACAGGTACAGCAGTGGACCTGAGCTACATGGAGTTAGTGCAGAGCCAGGGCCAGTGCCCTGTCCTGCTTATTGGGCCAAAGAGTCCCACAAGGCCTTGCACATGATAGGGAAGGGAAGCTTTGGATCCCATGGTATGGGGGACATGCCTGGGCTGGAAGTTGGGACTCCCAGGTTTCCATCCCACAATCACCGTGGACTCATTGTGGCTCCAGGACAGAGGGGACCAAGCCAGGCCTGGCCACGCCCACTGCTGACCTGCCCTGACTTGCTCCCCCCACCCCGTGGGAAGCCCCTGTCTCCTGTTGCTCCCTGCGCTCCTCCTGCACTCAGCTTCTCCCTGCATATCCTGTATTCCCTCCAGCTGTTCACTGAGTGTCTTCTTCCCTCTCTCCGTCTTTATCTCCTGATGGTGCTGTCTCACTGGCCCTCACCATCATGCCATCTCTCCATCTCCCTTGTGGTCCCTGAGCTCCTGGCCTCTGTTTCTCCCTTCCCCCATCCCCACCCCTGTCGTCCTCCCTGTCCTCCTGGAGAGTGGGAGCGACCCAGCAGGAGTCAGACACAGTGAAGCAAATGCTGGTAACCAAGGAAGTAGTTTCCTTAGCAACGGAATCCACAGGCACATGCTCCACTGCCCCTTCCCTCAGCTATTACAGTCAGAGAGAGACAGGGGGGTGGGGGTGGGGGAGGCAAGCCTGGAGCCAGAAGTCAGGGAGAACACCGCCACATTGGTCCTCATGGGAGGTGACTGACGGTAGTCAGGGACTGACACAATGAATGGCACTTGGAGGACACCTCAGAAGACTGGAGGTGGAGAGCAGTGGGGTCAGACACAGGTGGGGGAAGACCCTCAGGACCTGGTGACACACTGGAGGAGGAGGTGACAGAGCAGGCAAGAAGGCCCCATGTTCTGACCTGGAAAGCTCCCTGGAGGGTGGCCCTTTGACCAAATTGGGGAATGATGGTGAAGAAGCAGGTGAGGGAGAGAAGATGTTAACTTGACCTGGCTCCCTGTCCCCAAAAGTCACAACGGAGGGGAGGTGGAGACAGACACAGAAAGATCTCATTCCTTTCTCCCGGCTAAGTGGGGACTAGGAGGAAGGAAGAAAAAAGTACAGAGAACTTGCTCACAACCCCTGCATTCGAACCTTCTAGAAGGTGGGAGAGACAGCACAGGGTACAACATGGAAAGAGACAGAGGAGAGGAAGAGACACAGAGAGAGGCGGGACTTCGGTAATTGATCTGGTACACTTTCCCATGGGGAAACAAAAACGTGTTCCATTTTAGAGAACCGAGACAAGGCAAGGGAAGAGGCAAAATCCCCCAGCCTGTGACGGCTGTTGCAGCTATAAATAACTGTCCCCACAGAAAACACATGCCAAGGTGCACTCACTTCCTGCGAGGTGAACCGAGCCCCTGTCCAGGCTGTTTTCAGGGGTGAATGTAGGCAGGGGGCAGAAAGCTGATCAACGCACCATGGACACCAGCCTGGCTTTTCCCCAAAGCAATAAACTGTGCCAAGGAGCAGAGCTGTAAATCTGAATACTAATATCCATCCTCGCAAAAGCAACATGTTTGTTTATCACATTCACACGTTTACTGTTTCCCCTCAAATTTACAGTCTGCAATCTGCCAGCGGACACGG